TAAATTACTCAATAAATATGAATAGTTCCTTGATACAATCATTGAATATGTATTGATTATCTATGAATATTTTTTAATTAGAGCTGATCTCTCTAATTATGTATCATTATATCTTCAATAAATAATTAATTTATGATATAGCTCTTTATTTTATTATGTTCACAAAATATAAAGTGTAAGATAAATCATAAGGTTTGCTAATTAAACCAAGACTATCTGAACCGATAAATATTATCTAAAATAATTATTTTTTCCAATATTATTTGTGACCATTAAATATTTGTTAATTTATAATTAGCTAATTTAATTGCATCTTTATGAGTGTGTCCTATTATTTTTTAATATTAGCATTTCATCTTCTCTCATTCATTATTTTATAAATATGTATTTTATTTTTATGAAACATCTCATTCTTTATAATCCTATTAAAAATTCTTTTCAAAATTACCATGCTAAAAAATATTTAATTATCCATAATTATAAGCACTTGAAATTAACATTTTTTTTTAATTTAATGTAAATTAAAAATTAACATCTAAAACTTAATTAATAAGATTTGTATAATATAAATTTTCAAAAAAAAATTGGATAAGAAATTAAGAAGTTAAAATGATCAAATATTCTGATAATATCTTATTTTAATTGAGATATATTATAACTAGTATATATCTAGATTATGCTCATAACTACTAATGCAACTAAATACTTTCTCTGTAGTATTAAAAAAAAAGTAATAACAAACCGATATTTAATTAATATATTAATTTTATAACATAAAAAATAAAAGTTTCACATAATTTTATATCATTATATCGATAATTAAAGCACATCAAAGTTGATTAACTCTCTCGATCTCGTACTCAATGAACTGATGTATAGGCCTCTCCTCTTATAATAAATTAAAATAGCTCATTCAAGAAGAAATTTTCCCTCAATTTCTTTATTTAATCCAAAAGAAACTTAAATTTTCAACACCGTTCTTAGACTTCGTTTGGGATAGCTCAAGATCACTGCTTTTTTCTACTATCAAAAGATTTTGGTACTTGATATATCATCAAAAAATTATCTTGACCAGACATGAATCTCGAGGCAAAATCATTTTGGAAACTTCAAAAATTTAATCTGGGACCATCTGAACTTTGATTTTAACAAATTTATAGTTGATTTGAACGCCTCAAAAATATGAACCCAACGACACTAAATTTGACACAATCCAAGCTCAAATGGATCCAAATCAAAGACCTGAAGCACATTTGGAAGATTCAATCCATATTTGGATTACCAAACAATTTTCAAACGTGACATGCTTATAGTCGAATCGAGTGGCTCGATGAGAAAAATCCAACGAGCCCAAGGTCGTCAAATTCTAATATCATTAAGATATTCAAATGTCCAGTAAACAGTCCATGATCAAGGGAATCAACATCGACCGTCCATTCAAACCACTCCCAATTTACCCTCGATCTTCCTTCTATTTACTGGCCATGCTACTCTAAAAAAACTATAAATAGACCCATCATGTGTCATGAGAAGGGACTAAAACATGAAGAAAGGAAGAGAATGAAGAGAACTCTCTTGCCACTAGACTCCTTTTCGTCCACCGCCGAACCTCCACTTGTCTACCGACTTTCGTCGGATCTCCGCCCGGCCGCCGATTGACGTCGGATTTTAGCCCGACCGTCAATTAATTGAAGCCCAATCTCCGCCCAACTACCAAACGTCGTCGGATTTTCGATCTCCGTTTGTAACTGGATTTCAACCCTAGGGTTGATTATTATAATCTGATCATCCTTCATTTCATGGATGACTTAGTTACTTGTAATTCAATCAAACACTAGTGGAATTATTTTAATAGAGTGTGGTCCCGTAGTTTTTCCTTTTTTAAGGGTTTTCCATGTAAAATTATGGTGTTTCTTTTTTTTTTTTGGCAGGGTGAACGTTTGAATTCTGGTTCATTAGAATTCTAAATTTTGTTTTAAACCAACGTACTATGCATTCGAGCGCAACATCGAAGTACGTTTAATTCTATATTAAATATATTAATATGCTTACAACACATTTTTGCAACTTGTTATCATACAATTTTCAAAAAATGTCTAATGACGTTTTAGAAACAACACATCTCTTCTTAAACAACTGTTAACACTAATTAATTCATAATTAATCTTATCTTAGATCTATCATAAGTTGAAACAATGAAATTATAAAAATTGATGTTCAACTTTGATATTCTCTTAGTTGTCTTATTCTCATGTTATATTTGACTTTTTTTAAAACCCTAATATGATAATGATATATATATTTTACTCTTATAGATATTGTGCTAACATAAATTTCAGCAATAAGGTTTATTCTGATTAATTTATTCTATGTCAGTACTCAGTATTTTAAAAACTTTGAGATTTTTTTCTTAAGTAAACTGGTGGTTTAAGTTTCACCCTCTAAAAAAGCTAACATATTAAACAAACATAACCACATGCATTATTTTTTGCTGAAAGATAAAAAGGATTTTCTGTAAGGTATTGAGAAGTCAGCCTAGCAGTATCAGAAGGGTGAGATTGGTTAGAAGAGATGTCTAAGATGGACTGGAGAATAGCTGAACTCGGTTGTGGCCTTGTCAGAACATAGTGTGCTGAATTAGCTCCTCATGAAACTCTTGTCGAAACCCTAATCAGACATCTCTGGATTCTAAAGAGATGTGTAAGTTGCGATAGAATCTCATAGGGATGTGAAACAGCTAGATCGAAAGTGTAACAGCCCAAATTCATAGCTATCGAGATATTGTCTGTTTTGGCCTAAGAGCCTCACGATTTTGTCATAATGGTGTAACATCCCAGTAGGTCACCCATCCCAGAATTGCTCCGGGATGAGCACGCTTAACTGCGTAGTTTCTTACAGAAATTTCAGTCATTACATCAAAATCTGCCTCGATGTTTAAGAGAGCTTTTTTTTTACTTAAGAGTTTTCACAATTTCTCCCACTTAAGTAACTGACGTCCTCGTCAGCATCTGTATCCCAGAATCATCCACCTCGCAGATAAGACTCTAGAGGTGGCTCCTACAAGTTCAAGTGGTGGCTCCCATCATGTAGCACTTTGTCCCATACAGTGTTCAAGAGGCCAGGTATCTCTCATGGCGTAGCACTTTGTCTTGTATGATACTAAGCTCCCATCTTCTGGCTTGTGTATTGCTCTGATACCATTTGTAATAGTCCAAACTCTTAACTATCGAGATATTGTCCGTTTTGGCCTATGTGCCTCACGGTTTTGTCCAATTGATGTAACTTCTCAATAGGTTATCCATCCCAGAATTGCTCCGGGATGAGCAAGCTTAATTGCAGAGTTTCTTACGAAAATTCCAGCCATTTCATCGAAAGACACCTTGATGTTTAAGAATTAGCTTTTTTTTTTTACTTAAGGGGTTTCACAGAAAGTGTGTGATTAATGAAGAAATGAGCTAGTCATAATGTAAATTGGACAACCGACGTTTAGTGAAATATGAAGAAAGAGAGGTGGATTCAAAATCCTGTCGTCAAAGGGACTGGAGGCCTTGGCATATAAATGACGATGTGATCGATGTGGAAGTTGCGATTGGAGACTGACGGTGTGGTAACATGATTGAATGGACAGAGCTTTTAATCTGTGCGGACACCAGACGAGAGAACCGTCTGATTAAGCACTGGGTACCTAGCGGTACCAAGTGCGGGTACCGAGCTGGGTACCCACCAATGAGATGATGTGATGCATTTTTATTGATCTCCGAACGCCCTCCACACTCCGTACAGAATAATATTTCAAATGAACGGTGCTTTCAAGAGCTCCACTGGGCCATGATGAACAATTAATTCCCACAAATAATTTCATATCATTTTCTATCATTTCTTTCTCATTTGCATTTCAAAGTAGTGTTCACGTGGTTACTCAACGTTCAATCATCATCCCATAGAGATGAGGACAAATTCACATCCATCTTCATTTAACATCTCAACTGATCCTTTACCTGCTCAATTAAATAAGCTGCCAACCACTAAAGCAGAAAACAATTCTAAATCATAAAGTAACGAGTTTCAGAATAAAAGTCATAAAGGAGGAACTGAAAAGTTTTCATTCAGATTTTATTTGGGACAACTTTTTTATTGCTTCTTAAAACAGTAAAATTATTATACTAAAAAACTAATTTAAAAAGTAACAAGAAAGTCCTCCCAAATGAAACCTTAGATATATATATGTACAGTTTTCTTCAATTTCATAGATACTTAAATTTCTTTTAGTAATCTCATTGCTTTGTGGAAGTATAGCTACGAAGAAGCCTATTACATATGGAGGCTTTATTATATTCAGAATGAGTCCCTTTCTGAACAAAGAGAAGCCGACACATTTCGAAAGAATAGAGATTATATTTTTTTTAAGAGATTATATTTTTTATAAAATAGAAAATAATAATTGCTTGAATTAATGTCGTAAGAAAAAGAAAAAAATTGCACTTTGATCAAAATGCGCTAATTATAACTCCAAAAAATTGTTTTTTTTTTGGGAACGGGTATCCGCCCGCTGCCACGTCAGCTTGTGACGAGTTTGGCGGTGTTCACTAGTCCCTCGGTGAGTCTATCAGCAACCAGCCCCACAGGTGCAGGACCCACAGTTCTTTTCTCTCCACTTAAGGAGTCGTGTCGTATGAGAGGGGATTCGAACTTAGGATGGGGGGTTCCCAATGGAGCGCGCCTTTTTAATCTTAGAAAAGAGAAGGGTTAAGGCATATAATTAGCTCTTTAAGGCATGGACAGCTCGCCACATTAATTATCGTTTGAACGTAATCATCCAAACATTAATAATAATAAACTGGAGAAAATGGTTGTCGTGTAATTATCTCTACACAGATGAAGAACTATTGCTGGTCACCAAACTCTGGAGTGTTAATTTAAAATAATCAACACATCAATTGCTTTCTCACCTTAAATGGCCAAAAAAAATTAGAAGATCTAGCCACCTGCCTTCCCTTCCCTTCTTGTATATATATAAATGCCTGAAGAGAAATCTCATTAACCTAAAACTCTTTTGATTCCTTATATTTTTTTGCAGCTTGTAGTTTTTCTTTACTCTCTTTGACATCGCAATGGAGATAGGTAGCATAGTTGAGTACTTGAAGGATAAGAGCATCTTCGTCACTGGTTCCACTGGTTTTCTGGCAAAGAGTATTATCTCAGAAATCTTTTCTACAGTATTATCTCTTTTAACGTTTGAAAAATTATTATGTGCGGTGTCCGGACACGTCCAGAGGCTAATCTGGATGTGCCTCGTCGGCCAAAGCTCAATGCATTGAATGACGTGGTGCAGCAGGATTGATCCAGACGCGTTCGGACACCACACATGATAATCTCTCTTAACGCTCAGGTCTAACGTATGTTGTTGTTTGTTGCTTGGTTTAAAGTCTTTGTGGAGAAGGTTCTTAGAGTTCAACCTAATGTGAAGAAACTCTTCCTTCTTGTGAGAGCTGGAGATGCCAAGTTGGCTGCAGAACGCATGCAAAATGAGGTATAACTATCTTTTCAATATTTATAATTATTGATTGTATTGAGTCGTTAGAGGCAATTTTGAGTCGATTTCAAATGGGTAAATCAAGACATGGATAAAAATTTTTGATATTTTCATGTTATATATGTAATTTCCTGTTAGGCTTCGTTTGTGATGTTTTTTTTACTGGTTTTTAAAGTAATTTTCTAGTAAAAAATTAAAAATTTTTATGCTAAAAATATGCTTTAAGTTGCAGTAAGAAAGCCGTCCCAAATGAAGTCTAAATCTAACTTGGTGCTAACTCGGTGAATGACTACAAGTTAACTATCAATCATTGGTTTTAACTTGTCTCTTCTACTTTTGGTCTTTTTTAATCTTTAAAGAGGCTTTCCACCAATGCTTTTTATTTTGAAAAAATGTTGCTTTTGAATTATATATTATAAAATATGAAATTATTAATGACTGTTATAATAACAAATTAGAGTTTAAAACCTTTCTAGCATTGCTAATATTAAATATGCTATTGGCTTATTATTGTTAATTATAATTTTTGCTCCATAGCACTACTAATAATTAGTGTTCTAATATTAATGGATAATCACTTCCTTGATCATCAGGTGTTTGTAAAGGAGCTTTTCGATGTTCTTAAGGAGAAACATGGGGAGGACTTTGATTCATTTATATCCAAAAAAGTTTACTCAATTGCAGGAGATATTATTTATGAAAATTTAGGGATTGAGGATTATAATCTTAAAGAAATGTTATGGGAGGAGATTGACATCGTTGTCAATGTGGCTGCAACTACCAACTTTTATGAGAGGTAATCAGAATTTTTAATAATTCAAATTCATGGAGTGAGTTTGAGACTAATTAATATGAACTTAAGACTTTTATTGTAATTTTATAATTTTTGTGTGTGTGTGTATGTTTTCTAGATATGACATCTCTTTGAATATCAATACCTTGGGAGCCAAGCATGTATTGGAGTTTGCAAAGAAATGCACAAAAGTCAAGATGCTTCTCCATGTATCAACAGGTCAATTCACACTAACAAAAAATGCATTATCTTTTGATATAAGTTATGATGAATTATACAAATTTTGAATAGATACATCACTACATTAAAATGGTAAATTACTGGAAGCGGAAATCCTTTTTCCGTCGAATTCACATTTTATTCCGTCGGAAGCTCCGATGGTAATCGAAGGTTTACCTGTAGTGCATACATTATATTTTCTTTATTACTTGTTTTAGAATTTTGTATTAAAAGACCTTTGTACGTCTCACTAACAATATTTCATATATCATTAGGCTTATTCTGATTATATTTGTGTTGATCAGCTTATGTAGCTGGTGAGAGGGAAGGTATAATATTAGAGAAGCCATTTCACTTTGGTGAAGCACTGAATAAGGATATGTATTTAGACATTGAAGAAGAGCTAAGGCTTGCTAAAGATAGAAAGAAAGAACTCCATGAGCAAAATTCAACAATAGAAGCTGAAAAAGTTGCTATGAAGGAATTGGGAATTCAAAGGTTTGACATCCCTTCAAGTTTAAAAATGCTATATATAGAAATTAACTTGCAAAATTGATAAAATATTTTGAGAATGTTTGTTTCTCTAACATTTTTGGTCATTTAATAAAATATTCTTAGTAAATATCACTTGTTTGAATTGATGACATGTTATAGTTACACTTTGTTAAATGATATTTTGCACTTAAATGTTGGCATATATGTGGCACCTTAATCTAATGGCATAAATGATCAAGCTATTAGTGAAAAAAAAGGTTCATAATTATCATTGATATATTTAAAAATTATTATGATGTTTAGTTTGTAGCAAATAGAAAATATTACAATTGATAGATATTATTATTCTAATAATAATAATGTTATATAGACGAATTTTTTACTCTTTAAACAATAAACCATACGACCTCTTTGATATAATTTTTTGTAATTAGTATTTCCATGTTATTATAAGTTATTCGAATTAGTTGTTTGTTATTTTCTTATAGGGCTATGCTAGTAAGTTGTTTTATTTGTTATTGCAGGGCTAGAATGTATGGCTGGCCAAACACCTATGTATTTACAAAGGCCATGGGAGAAATGCTTCTTGGTCATTTAAGAGGAGAAATGCCACTAGTTATTATGCGCCCGACAATTATAACAAGTGTCTACAAAGACTCATTACCAGGTTGGACAGAAGGAGCTCGGTAAGCCCATATATACATTCCCAAGTTGTTTATATTTATTATTACATTTTAGCATTTGCTTCTTGATCTAAGTCAACATTCACTTGATGTTGTAGGACAATTGATAGTATAATACTTGGTTATGCAAAGGGGGACATTTCATGCATTTTAGGAGATCCAGAAGTTGTTTCTGATTTGGTTAGTGATCTTTATTTGCATTGATGCAACATATTTAATGGAAAATAAACATGTTGGTCAGCGATCTTGATTTTATATTATTATACATATTTTTTATATGCTTAAATTATAATTGCATCTTTCTATGCTCATTGTACAACCATATAATTATTTCAAGTCAACTCATAAATTTTAATCAAGATGCATGCATAAGCATAAACTATATATAATAAAGAATAATAAAAAGAAATATCATGTTAATTCATTATTTATATAAAAATAATATTGGCAGACAAATTTACACATCTACAACATATTATAATGTTGAGATAAAATTAAATCTATAATTTATATTTATTCAAGCATTTTTACTTTGATAGATTCCTGGAGACATGGTGGTGAATGCCATGATTTCAGCAATAACTGCTCATTCAAATCAACATTCAGAATTCATATATCATGTAAGTTCATCTGTAAGAAACTTGGTGAAATATTCCACAATAGAAAAATGTGTCTACCAATATTTCGTGAAGAACCCTCAGACTCGTAGTGATGGCAAGGAAATCAAGGCAAACAAATTTCACTTCATCAGAACAATGCCAATTTTTCATAGATACATGCTTCTTCACTATCGCGTACCTCTTGAGGTAATTAAACTCTATTTCCTTTTTAGATATTTTTTACTTTTTTTTTATAATGGATATAAGTATGTAATGCTTGACATGTGATTTTAACATGAGCTTATTGTTCAAGGGAGTATGGCTAACATACAATATTCTTTGGTGTTGTGGCTTCATGTTTAGGGCTTGCGCTTGATGAATTTATTCCTTTTTGGATTATTTACTCAACAATTCAACACATATTGGAAGAAATATAAGTATGTGATCCACCTTGCTGATATCTATGCACCATATACATTCTTTAAAGGAAGGTAAGCTCAAGTTTATGACTTATGAGTAATAAATAGTTCTACTCTTTATATTTGAGATATGAACAATATTCTTATTCAATATTATGATTGATTGCAGCTTTGATGATGCTAACTTAGAAAGGTTGAGAAAGGCAATGATGAATAATGTTGAGATGAAGTTGTTTGATTTTGATCCCAAACATATTGAATGGGATGATTACTTGATAAACATTCACATTCCAGGTGTAATCAAGTATTTGCTTAAGTAGAATATTGAAAAATGATATTAGGCCGCTTATATAGCCTATTGGAGAAGAAGCATTAAATGCAATATTTGTTGAGCACAACTAGCTATTCTTCTTAAATTCATATTAATCACAATTGTATCTCCATCAAGTACAGTGGTTCATTTATTATGAAATGTATTTATGAATACAAGTAAATAAATATGTTTTTTTTTGGGTAAAACCCACAAAGAGGCCTACGCGTTAATATAAATAAAGGGTTACAAGTCCTTAAGGGGACCCAGAGCCACTAATGCTCAAAGAGTTACATTCAAAAAAAAAAAAAAAAAAAAAAAAAAAAAAAAAAAAAAAAACTTAAAATCCCCACACTAAAAGCTTAAGATCCCTACTAAATTATAAAATAAAGTGGAAAGAAAAAGTTATTGATAGCAAAAAGCTACAAATGAAGAAGGAGCGACAACTAAAACCATTCAATAAGCATAACAACTGTGATTTAAATTGAACCATTGGACTGACATAGCTGACCAAAATCAAAAGACCTGTAAGGAAAAAACAAACCTCCATTAAAATCAGATTAGCACCTCAACTAAATAAAGTAGAACACATCAAGAAGCAAGATCCAACTAACAAGCAGAACAAAACAGACAAAGAAACACCAACCAAACATGGAAATACCAACAAACAACCAGCTGATCTGCATAGTACATGACCCCAATCAATAGGCCAAAAAGAAACAACACAACCAGGCAAACAACCCAAGAAAACCCAACAATCACCAAAAGAGAAGACACCCATCACTTGGACAAAACCAGTAAAAAATAGAACAACACAACACCAATGACACCACCAAAAGGAACTAACCAATACAAGAACAAGAATGAACCTTAGAACGAGTAGCTCTACCAACTGAAAATTTGAAACTTTAATTTTTATTTTTCTTACATTTCTTTCCAAAAACTATGTAGAAACATTTAAATGATTATGCTGCACCAAAAAAAATTAGAGGTACCATCATTAGTCCCCCCCAACACCGAAGTGATCACCCGACTGAGTATAAATCCAATCAGTATGATCAATAGGATCAACCGAATGTAAATTCACATTTGGCTTCCCACCATCCAAATCAATTACCACATTATTAGAGATAGGGGAAACTAGTAAATTAATCATAGGCACTAATATGTCACAAAAAATGGCCTTGATCGTGCACGAATATCGAGTTGTATTTAAATGGAAACTTTCAAAATTAAATTTGGGATCATTTGAATTCCAATTTCAGTAAACATATAGTCAAGCTAAATGTCTTAAAGATACATACCTAGTAACACCAAAATCTGCCCGACCCTAGCCCAAATGGGTCCATATCAGGGGCCCAAACCATATTTGGAAGGTTCAAATAATTATTTAGGATTACAAAATGATATTTAAATATGGCATGTCTATAGTCAAATTGAGTGGCTTAGTGAGACTAATCCAAAAAGCCCAAGATCGATGAATTCCGACATCATTGAGTTACTTAAATAATAGAGAAACTTTATATGATAAGGGGAATCAATATGAGACATCCAATGGAGCACTCCGAACCTACCCTAAATATTCTCTATAGTTAATGGGTGTGCCACTCATGAAAATCTATAAAAACACCCCCACTCTCTACATGATTGGGAACTTTGGCTAGAAATTGGAGAGAGCTCAAAGGCTTCAAGAGCTCTAGCACCAGCTTCGTCGAATCCCCATTGACTGTCGTTAGACCGCTGCTCTCGTGTCGATCAACGTCAAACTTCCACATGGAGACCATCAGACTTTAGCTCGACCATCATCGAACCACCACCCAGCCGGCTACTGTCGTCGGACTTCCACCTAGTATTCGACCGTAATATGACTTCTACCTGGCAGCCGAGCGTTGCTAGACTTTATCCCAATCGTCGTCGAACCACCGCCAGGCCGTCGAATGCTGCCACAGTTTCACCTGGTGGCTGACCGCCGCCAGACTTTAGCCCGGCCATTGTCAAACCACACCCAGCCCCCAATACTACAGGAAAATCACCCAAAACCGGTGGTTTTTCTGGCGGTTTGGGTGAAAAAACCGGCGGTATTTGAAGATACCGGCGGCTTTGCGTGGGTATATAACCGCCGGAAAAAATGGCGTAGGAAACTATTTGCCGGCGATTTTTACCGATGACTTAATTAGCCGACGGCTTTCCGGCGGCATATACAGCCGGTTATTCCACGGCTTTGTACCGGCGGTGTTCCGGCCGATGTACCGCCGGTCAAGTTACCAACGACTTACCGGTGGTCCTTCAACAACGGCTAACCTACGGTTACGGCGGCTGGCATGAGTTAAATTAACCAATGGGAAGCATCATTAAACTGCTGGTACAACACCGACGGTTACCGGCGGTCTGACCAACGGTAGTAACGACGGTCTAGACCGCCGGGCTTTCAACGGACAACCGCCAGCTGCCGTCGGGCAACCACTGGCATAATACCAGCGGTTTGACAAAGTTACCGGCGGCTTTTTAAAATCCGTTTGGTATCGTAGTTTCCGGCGGCCAAACCGCCGTGTGGCCGCGGGAAACCTGTAGCTCCTGCAAAAAAAAAATTGACAGTCTCCCCTCTATATGAAGGAGGTTCACCCTATATTCTAAAACCTGCACATAATACAATATATAACATGATTTGGGCAACACGCCGCTATATTCAATCAACTATCATAATTATATACATAAGCACAACCAAACAAAACATTAAATAGAAACAAAATTAATATGTTCAACCATAAAACATAAGTTCA